TGAACATGTATGTGTCTATAAGCATATGTACACATACATATGTACATATTTTAAAATATGATAGATCAATTACATAAAATAGGACAAGATATAGAAGATTTAAGTAATACAATCAAGCTTGGTAATATAAAATTTTGTAACTATATATGTGAAAATATACAGTCTTGTTTTTGAGTATGAAACATTTACAAAAATTAATCATGTATGTGTCTACAAAGAATATCTTTAAAATACTCAAACAGAATGAAATAATTGGTTGAACTAAATAGTTTATGAAATACTTGGAAATTAATAATTAAAAGATGACTCAGAAATTTCACTTGAAGTTAGGGTTCTAGGAAAATAAAAGATGACTCACCCGAACCCTCTAAAAAAGTAACTAACTGGAAATTAAGAAAGAGTTTTTCTAAGTGGCCCCTAAATAAACAAAAGAACTAAAAATTGAAAGTGGAACTTTCTAGACTAAAAAAAAGAAGACAGGTGGAAGGCAAGAGGGAGAATACTCCATCAAAAAGCTACGTTTTATGATTAGCATGTATAACGTGGGGGGGCATGGGGAAGGCTGTGCAGCACAAAGACAAGTAGTGATTTTATAGCATCTTACTATGCTGATGGACAGTGACTAATGGGGTATGTGGGGGGGACTTGGTGAAGGGGGGAGTCTAGTAAACATAATGTTCCTCATGTAATTGTAGATTAATGATACAAAAAAAATAAGTAACATGTGTGGAGGAGGTTTTTGACAGGAGAAAAAATCTGACATAGGTTTTCATCCATACAGAAGGCTCTTAGAGTAATATAAATGACACATTAATGATAAACGACAAATATAGGAGATGAAGGCCCTGGCCAAGCAGTTATGGCAATGCAGAGGATAACAGTATGACGCTTTACCTGGAGTCTTTATTCTGCACTAGGCCCTCTGCTGAGCACTGTACATACATTTTCCTAATCAGTGATCACAACAGACCTATGAGATACATAGTCATTGTTCCTTCTTACAATCTTATGTCAAATGTCATACATAAACAAAAGGAAGGGAAAATATCATAATGAACCTCCGTGTAGCTCCAGCAGTTAACAGTGTTTTGTCAGTCCTGATCCATCAACACCTCCACCCCAAATCGGTTTTGCTCTTGTGTTTTAAAGTAGAAACATGTTGCTTCACCTGTAGGTACTTCAGTGTATTTTAAAACGTTTTGAACATTAATAACCACAATGACTTGATGATAGTTATTTTTTAAAAAGCCACATTTTAAAGATGAGCAAGGTCGTATAACCACAGGAGAGAGTCTACATATAGATCCATTGAAAGTTTTATTCAACAAAATTGGCATTTCAATTCCACTGGCAAAGAATTCCTTAAATGATCCCAGCATAATGTCCATCCACAAGAAAAGTTAATTCTAGGTTAATTAAGTATTTACATGTAAAAAAAAAGAATAAAAATATTTAAAGGAACTTTCAAATTTAACCTGTATAATCTTGAAGTGGGTGAGACATTCTTACATAGGGCAAGAAACACTACATAAATGAGCCTAAAGGAATTCACAAACTAGTGTCATAACAACATAAATATGCTATTTTTGAGATATGGACAAGAACAATGAGGGCCCAGAGAACAATTCCTGGTTCTGTGTTCTATGGTGGCCATTAGGGAGGGGTTCACAAGAGTATTTTTCCACTGTATTTTATGGATTGGCTGGGAAGTTTCTAGGCAATACATGCGGAGAGGAACAGAATCATTAAGGTCCTGATATTCCAATACCAATGAGAAATTCAATCCAATCGAAGTGTAGAGTGAATGACTTGCAGAGGCTGAAAAGTGACCAATATGTGAAGGAGCTTAAATATGTAGGGACCAAGGGTAGGCTGCCCCAAAAGGTATCACTCTGGCACATCGATTACTTTAAATTAAAATACTGGAGAAACATCAGAAGCACGATAGATTCTCTGACCTCCCTTCTCCCCCCCACCCCCCTTGCCTTGAAACCAGGAAATAAATCCATTATAGGAAAGGTGCTCTCCCTGCATGGGGAGGTAAAGACACATCCTTATCATCACAGACAGGAAATTCAAGGCTAAGAAGCCTATATGAGTAAACCTTATTACTTTTTACTAATTTTCTGCTCCAGCCAATTGCTGTTTAGAGTTTCTAGGTAATAGAAACTCCCAAACCTAAATTTTCTTTGTACTGTCAGTTCCTCACAGATTAATGTTTCTTTGTCTAAAATGTGTAAAAGCTATATGCCATGGTCATTTCTTTCAGTGTCAGTTATATTATTGGGCCTCCATCTGTACATAATTAAATTATCTTTTTTTCTCCTGTTAATCTATCTCTTATCTATTAGATTCTTAGGTCAGCTAGAAGAACCTTGAAGGGTAGAGGAAAATTCTTCCTCTCCAACAATGCAAAGCTGAGAAGTTTTACCTTAACCTTAAGTAAGGTAAGGCCTGAAGCAGCAGAAAGACATGACTGACTTATTTTTGAAAGGTTATTTGTGGAGAATGAATGAGCAAAAGAACACTGGCAAATGGAAAGGTTAAGAGACTGTTAAACAGCCCAAATGAGAAAAGATTACAGAAGAGCATGAAAGTACTGTAAGAATGGCCATTTTTAGAATAGAAGATAGTCTGGGAATAGATTGGATGTGGGAATTAAGGGAAAAGTAGAAGCTGAAAAGAAGCCCAAATTTTCCATATTAGGAAACTGGAGGGCTAATGATGGCTCTGACTAGGAGAAGACATACAGAAAATGCAATCGATTTTTATGGGAAGGTTCCATCAGAGACAGGTTAATGAGAAATACCTAACAGGGTATGTTCAATACGAGCTGCAAATAGAGATTTGAAGGTCAGGACTGAAATTTAGATTTGGGTAGCAGTCAGCCTGTTGATGATAACTTGAAGCTATGGTGATTGTCAAGCTAACCAAGGAGAAGAGAAACTCTCCTGAATTGTGAAAAAACATGGTCTGGCTGAAACTGCTAACTGTCTACATCAATATCTATTCCCCTCTCCTCCTTATTAACAGAATCCTAACTTTAATTAGGATAGCCTTGTAGCTAAGCTGACAGTTCAGGAGTCTCAATCTCTCCTGCAGCTGGGTAAGGCTATGTGACTGACCCGTGGCTAATGGGATCTAAGTGGAAGTGCTGTACCGAACATTCAGGAAAGTTCCTTAAAAGAGAGAAGTCACTCCATTTCCCTACTGTCTTTCCTCTTTCTTCCAGATTTCCATGGACATGATGTTTGAGCCATGAGGTAAATTTGAGAATGGAAGCCATTTGTGAGGATGATGGCTCCCTGAAGACACTCTGGGGGTATATGCCTGTAGATTTTTCTGTGAACAAGAAATAAGTGTCTTAGTTGAGCCACATCTGTCAAAACTAATTACAACTGCTAAAAATGAATACTAAAGGTTTTAAATGAGAAACTACTACATTTAAGGAGTGGTCTAGGAAGGAATTGTCAGTTTCAAAGACAGAAGGGTGAGACGGATGGGAATGGTAGAACAGAAACCAAGAGAAAAAAGATTGAAGAGGTAGGATGGGCATGAGAGTAGCAGGTATTTAAAAGAGGTCAAACAGGAAGAGCCTTCAATGTAGGACATTAACTTTAGAATTACACACACACACACACACACACACACACAAAAATTTAGAATTACAAAGTTTTCCTTGACTTTGAGGAGAGTAATTTCAAGGGAGTGGTAACTCAGTGAAAACAAAGTTAAAGTGAGCTTCCATGTGAATAAAAGTCAAAGAAGCTAAACTAACATTTAATTTCAAGAATAAGGGAAATAGAGTAAAAAAGTTATAGAGAAAGGACAAGGGAAAAGAGACATTTTGTGTTTGTTCTCACAAGGAAACTGTATCATCAATTATAATGATTTTGCTAATGTTTGTTAAATCAAAAGAGGTTTCCTATTCTTTGCTAATAAACGCAAAGCCTTCAAATAAATGAGAAAAGAATGGTGCTTCGCATTCAAGGTCACTTTCGTTTTGGGACCCTATTCTGTCCCTTAGCATTCTGAGAAATAAAATTCCTTCTACTCCCTTTTCGACGTCCGTGGGGGCATATGCGTGAGTGTAAATAGAATGGGCACAGAGATGACCTGGAACTGAAAAATGAAACTTCTGTTGATTCTGAAGATGTCATGCCGAGGATTTTTAATTGCACATAAGGAAATGCCAGAACACTCAGGCTTCACGTGTGACTCATCTGCAAGCTCTGATGCTCCTTCCCTTTGCCCCCCATGCTCCGGCTCACAGCCTCACCCTGAGCCCTTCTCCCTCTCCTTCCTTCCTTCTTTCTTTTCCTTCTTTTTTTATTTTCTAAGAGAAAGGAAGCAGGTACATTGGGATAGAAATAATGCAAGTGAAGTAAATGTACTGGGATCCCAATGTGTTTGGGATATTTTAATATAGTTCAGCTTTATGATTTGTGGAAAAATGTGGTCAAACCAATGCTGTGGGGATTGTTTATCAGTGTATAAATTCAATCAGGTTTTGGAATACTTGCAAGTATTTAAAAGATTTTAAATGCATTCTTCCATGTATATTTGAAAGAAATTGGTTAGACCCTGGGGAACAATATTAGATGCATATTATGGTCTTCATTGAAGTACATAAAGAATTAATTTCTACTTCTGTTAGGAAAGACTGCTTCTCCTGCCTTCTGGATTTGCTTGCTAACAGAAGAGATGAATATACTTTATAATTTGTAAATTCCTATACAAAGTCCAGTCCTTGTTGTTAGTTCGGTGATTTGTAACCTAAAATATTGGTTTAAAACCATTTAAAGAGAATGGATGAAATGATTTTTAAAAATTTTTACTTAACAATGATCCTATGAATTTGAGTGGTGTGTGAAATGGAGATGTTCTCAAAACACCACCCTTAAGGGTTATAGAAAGGAGCTTCCCACTGACTCCATCTTCCTGCTATGAAGATTGTTCCTTGATGTGTCCTTAAAGAAACTTTAAAACCCACAGACCTATTTTAAAGGTAAAAAATTCATGTAACTTTATTTTTTAAAGCACTAATATGTCTCAGTTTTAGCTACAGTACAAAGAATATTAAACTAGCACCTGAGAATTGTTTTAGTAAGTTGTAAAGAATCTTGACTCATTTAGCTTCCTTATTTTTTCTCTACTCCATCATACAAAGAAAACAGAGTGCTCTTACTTTCACTCTTTCAGCCTATTGGGTCATCAGCGGTCTGATTTTCATGCGAACAGCCCTGAGGGAATAATCTGCACCTCTGAAGGAGTCCCAAACCACTCCGTTCTCAATCTCATAAGGACTGTTGTTCCTCGGGTCATAGGAGCCCCCAGTGTAGTAGATGCCATTGAGATTGGCAGCTTGGCAGTTGTTGTACCACCAGCCTCCTCCATAGACTTCTGCACAGTTCTCCTCCCACTGGTCTGCATCCCTATCAAAAGTGCTGAACTCCATGCCAGCATGAGAAGTGTACTCTGGCCCTTCCTCTACAGAACCCTCAATCAGAGCATCACCTGCTGTGCCTTCATACTTGGAGACCTGCAGGGGGTAACCTTCCACCTCAGAGCCTACCCTCAAATGATATTCTGCATAAGCCCCATTCCCAGCCCAGTCCTCTAATTCAACCCGAAGGACAGAACCCCTCAATGTCAGTAAGTGGAGGTATTCATTGCCTAGCCAGAATTCTCCTTCCCCCTTGTCATTCAGACTGCCAAAACCTCTCTTGTAGTCTTGCCAGGTCCGGTTAAAATTCAGTGATCCATCCATTCTTTGCTGGATCAAAAGCCATCCTCCCAAACTGGTCTCTTGATCGCAATAAACAGAAAAAATCTTACTGGATCCCGGTAGCTGGATATTGAAAATGCCACTTTGGGCACCTGAAGGATGTGTTTGGAGGACATCATCACAGTCTAAAAAGAAAAATTAAGCTGGTTGGAGGACGTTACTCTCATTTAACTTTACAAAGATAGGCATAGCCCAGATTAAATGAAGGCCGATACTGCCTTGTTTCCTTCCTTCCTTTCTTCCTTCCTTTCCTCCATAATGGGAAAAGGATTCACTTACACTAGGATGGAAAATATGCAAGTGAGTGTCATTTAAACCTACACATTTCAAAGGGGATTTTCCTCAGTGAATTAGGAACTTTACTTGCATCTACTGATTAATAGCAAGTAACCAACAAAGAAAGATATCTAAGCATCATTTAATATTAATATGCCTTGTTTATGACCTGATCTAGATGTCAGCTGAGACATACACTAAAAGTATCATTAATAAATCAGGTGATAATTCCAACAGCACACATTTTGAATGGTGAAAAAATTTGGTTAAACAAACTCAACATCGAGTTTCAAAGGGATTCATTCATTCATTTAACATGTATTTATTGAGTGATAACTCTGTACTGTTAGGCATTTGGGAATACAGAGATGAACATTATAGACAAAGACCCTGCCCCCATGGAACTTACAGTCTAGCACAAAAAATAACAAGAAGTGTAATTTCAATAATGCATTTAGAGTGTTAGGAAAGAAATTCAAGGTGCTATGGGAGCACATTGCAGGAATAATAAACTTAGTCTAGGGGTTCAGGGAAGGCTTCCCCAAAGGAGAAGTGTGGATACCTCTGGCAAGGCGAGTTTTAACATGGCTTCTCTTGGTAGTATGTGCTTCTCTGACGTCTTCATGATCTGCTTCTCTTCCAGCCTCATCTGCCATTTTATAGCTCTTGCTTTCAAATGAGGAGTCTCCTCTGTTGAAAGTTGTGCTGCTACTTACATATTGTTTGCTCTGACTTGAAGTTTTGCCGCTGGAATGGAACTCAGGTACATCCAAGTGAGAGCTAGTTTCCCCTAAGTCTGTGAAAATGTCAGATTCTAAGCCTGTAGATGAGAATCTACTCGAGAATGAATTTCCAGTGGAGGGTAGGTCAAAGAAAGAAGTTTTACCAGGTTGTGCAAGGAGCTCATCTAGGCTACCCCTGCTAGATAACATGTGGGACAAGTCACCACACTCAGAACTGTCTTCAGAATTTACCACTTCTTTGGTCACTTCCTTGCGACCATCAGGACCTATAACAGTCTTAGTAACAGTTTTAGAGCATGAGTGACGCGTGGTGGTTGTACTACCAGAGGTGACTTTCTCATTACCAATCAGAAGCTCTTTGTCTCCTTTGGAAGTGACCAGTTTACCTGTGTGGTACTCTTTCTTTGTCCCTGCACTTGTACTTCCTGACAACTCGTCAAATGTGCCCCAGTCCGGGTTGGTAGGCTTGGTGCTCCCATGTCCTGTGCCGCTGTCTGGCCTAAAAATCCCAAGCTCAGAACCTCCAGATGGCCAACTGCCAGCACTTCCAGTTCCGGAGCTCCCAGGGTTCCAAGAAACACCAGCAGAGACAGAGCTCTCAGAATGCCAAGTGCTGCTACTTCCAGTTCCGGCGCCCCCAGAGGGCCAAGTGCCAGCACTACCAGGTTCAGACCTGCCCCCACTTCCAGTTCCTGAGCTTCCGGAGGACCAAGTGCTGGAACTTCCAGTTCCTGAGCTCCCAGAGTGCCAAGTGCTGGAACTTCCACTTCCGGTGCTCCCAGGCTTCCAAGGGCCAGCACTACCAGGTCCGGAGCTCCCAGGGCTGCTGGGGCTTTCAGGTGCTGATCCTGGTACGTGAGATGCAGAGTCTCCTCTAGTATTTCCATCTCTACCAGACCCCACTAACTCCATTTTTACCTGTGGCATTTCCATTAGTGCCTTCCACTCCGGAGGGGGCTTCGGAAGCTGGTTCTTGAACTCTCTGGAAAACAGGTCTGAATCTGGGCTGATTTTTATCACTGGTAAGTATTGCCTGTCTCTAGAAGGAAATAAGTCTTTGGCAATGACCTGTTCAAGTTGCTTCTGCTGATCTTCATAGTCCTTTAGATTTACCTCATGTGGTACAGCCCTACTGCATGACCCTTTGCAAGATCGAATCTTAATATCGATGTCCACCTAGAGAGAGGTGAAGAACAATTAAGAAAAAAGGTGGCTATAAATAAACAAATGATGTCTATTGAGTTCTTTGTAGTTTGTTTATTTTTTGGAAACTTTTCATTTCTTTGATTTGGAGACCTTCCAAGTAATACTCTATTTTCCATTTATATAGTATCCTCAATGAAAGAGATGTTAAGTATTATAAGCAAGCCAGCATAAGCAATAGGAGGTATTTGGATTCGTCTTAGACTTAAAGCAGATTAAGAGTAAGGTACAATTTCCTCTGAAAGAAAACAAAGAAGTGATCCTTCATGAGACTGAGGCTGAAGTCTCAGAGGCAAGGTACTATCTGGGTTTTGGAATAAGACAAGCAGGAACTGAATATTTGCTTTTGAAATTTACTATCTATATGCCCTTGGAAAATTTGCTTAATGTAGCCGAGCTTTTATTCTCATCTGTAGAGTGGGGGCAATAATACCTCTTTGTAGGTAGATGATGGATATAATACTTTGCTATATATATGTACAGTAGGTATTCAATGAATGAGCATTGCCTTTCTTTTCACTGTTATTTAGAAACAAAGTAATCTGGTGTCAGAGCCATATGCTTACTTACCTCCAGTCGTTTCATATCTACCAGCTGATCCCTGACATTTTTTTGCAGAAGGTGGATATATTGTACTTGTTCTATGACTTTGCGCTTTAGGACCTCAATTCTGCTTCTCAGATCCTCTATTACTTGGCCATATGTATTTTCATTGTCTGAAACAGAAAATATGGATACTGAAGTAGCTGCTGAGTGATTTGCTTATAATAGCCAGCAAAAGAAGGAAATTTGTTTACAAATATTCTCCATTTTTTTTTTTGATAATAGTTTTTTCTCTGGACATTATATTTGTGAGTTCCAAATGTAGCAAGCATTTGATTTTTGGACAATATTATGTCCTTGTTAGTAATAGATGTCAATTAAGATGCCCTACTAGCAAGGAGTGATCTAACTAAATGAAAAGGAAGAAATATCTTTGGAATTTTAAAGCTGTAATTAGGAAGTAAAATAGTAAGTTTGATGCCCTACTAGCAAGGAGTGATCTAACTAAATGAAAAGGAAGAAATATCTTTGGAATTTTAAAGCTGTAATTAGGAAGTAAAATAGTAAGTTTGAACATTACAATTATTTCATCATATCCTTAATCAAGGGGCTTGAACATATTCTTGGATATTCTTACTGAGTCTTTCTTCTTACCTGTATATTTTAAATTGTTCCTGAGCATTTTTAGGTCAATGGGATTACTCACTTGCCAGTTACTATTGCACCACTGACTTTAACTTAGTCACTTGTCTCCTAAAAATACGAAAAAGTTAAAGCAAAGCTTCAGGAACTGAGGCCTCACTAACCTTGCTGCCCATGTCCTGAGTGAATCCAGTGTTTCCTAGTCCTAATGGGACGTAGTCCTAATCCTATGAGAGAGCTGAAATATAGCTCTACATTTAAAATTTTAAAGAAAGCTGTAATCAGCTCAGTTAAGTCTGTGGGTTGAATTTCCAGCTCCATTACATGATAACTTTGTGTCTTTGACAAGTCCTTTAACCTCTGGAAGTTTCCTCTCTGAAGGATAGAAACAAAAAACAGAAACTCAACAGGTTGGGCCCATCATATTTTCAGTATATGCTCTTGAAAAGAACACACTTAAATTCTAATCCTCAATCCAAAACACTGATTTACCTTGTGACTAAACAATTCTAACCTAACCTTTTCTATATTATCAAAATAACAAAAAACAAGCCCCTCTTAAAAATTTAGGGATATTGTAAAGGCATGTGTTTCTATACTAGGTACTTTGGAATAAAATTGCAGTTGCTCTGTGGAGACATCATATTTATTTAGGACTTTTCTTGTTGTTTTTGTTGTATGCTGTAAAATCAAAGCACTAAATATAATACTTACTGTTAGCTGTGGCAAAATCCCCTCTCACAAGTTCCATTATATTCCTGGTCACTGAACTAGAGTCCTTATTGTTCTTCTGATAGTCAAAGAGTGAATTTTTGAGCTTATTTATTCTGTTTGTAAAATCTTGATTGACTTCATCTATCAACCCTTGCATCCTGCAGCCAGAAGGGCATTTGTAGTTCTGCAAGTGAAGAGGAAAATTACATTAAGGGTCTGTGTCTTGGATCCAGTACAGTTCAGAAGGTTTCCATACAGCCCCCATTGTTTCTTTCCCCTCTATCTTCAGATCATCTATCAACTTATAAGTAGTTTAAGAGGGCTAGTCAGAGATCTTAGAGAAATTCTGGAATGTGGGTCCACTGAACCATAAATTCGGCCCCACAAAATCTTGAGGCCATAATACTCAGGTTCCCAGTATATGCCTGAATATGGAACTAAAATTCAATCTGTTAATTGCACCAGGGCTCTGGAGTTCGGAAGGTAATTGAAGTAGTGTTCTCAAGACTAGGTTCCTTTTCATGTGTTTTCTATAATTTAACATATAAGGAACTATTCCATTATTTCCCATTGGAAAGGTTTTCTGTGACCTCAGGGGTCATGTTGTGCACTCTTCGAGCATGTGCTCCCTATGCCCCCAGCTTACCCAGTCTTCATCCGAGCAGAAGGGCCAGTCTGTCTCTTTGCAGGCTGATTGCTGTCTTTCCACAAGTCTTGGACCGCGTACACCTCCTCCTTCAGCTAAAAACTCACCTCCTTCGGTTTCTGCCGTCTTCAGAGGTTCATTTACACACATAAAAGAGAGAAGCACCCTTAGTCAGGTGTGGAGGACACCCTGGCATGCCTATAACGTCCAACGAGGAGGGGCTCTGGCAGAAATTAAGAGCACCAGCTCCGGGGCCTCTACAAGCTTCAGGTTTATCTTTTGAATGAAAATCCTAATACCCATTTTTATGGAGTTGTGAGAATTAAAGGAGAAAAAGTGTACAAATTTTGTAACTATGTTTGACACTGAAAAGCCTCCAATAAATGGTAGGCATTTTAAAGGGTTCACTATAATAAGGAAAATTATTTAAATAAAAACATAGCTAAATTTACCTTATCACTTTCATTAATGTCTGGAGATAAAATGATAACTGACAAATTCAGAGTTCCTTCTACTATAATTCTTGTTTCAGTAGGAAAATACTTACACCATCTTCATGTCTGTCTAACCTTCAAGTTTCTTCTATGACCTTATGGGTCCATAATTTGAGTCATATATACCAAACACAAAAATGTGGCCAATTCAGACTTAAGGCTTTTAAGGTTATTCACTCATCCAATAATATTTTTTTATTTGCAACGAAAAAGGACTGAAAGCAAAAATAATGGCCTATGACTGACAACTTTTTTTAAACATCCTATAATGAGAAATACAGATTTAAAAAAATTTCCATTGTGATCTAGTGTAAGGTGAAATAAGTTATAAAAATATTCTTCCAACATGGCTTTATATCCTCATAAACCAATGTGGGTTTTACTATTTTTATTTTGTATCATCAGCTTATAAGGATTTTGCTGTGATTATTTGAACCTTGAATAATTTATTTTTTATAATCAATTAAAATTTGCCATGTTATTGTTTTAAAAATACCCCAGTAATAATAATACTAATTCAAGCAATCAAGAACAATATATATAAGGGAACATGTACAATATTTCTTCTTTTAAAAAAAATATATACATATATTTATTTATTTATTTATTTATTTATTTCATTCACTCACTCACTTTGGTATCATTAATATACAATTACATGAGCAACATTGTGGTTATTAGATTCCGCCCATAATCAAGTGCCCCCCCCACATGCCCCATTACAGTCACTGTCAATCTTTTCATTCAAGAAATATAATTATTAATTCAAACATACTTCAGAATAAAATGGCACAATTATAAAAACTGGCAAAAGTTAAATTAGCCAGCAAGAGAGAAATAACTGAAGCTCAAGCAGCATACAGAATACCACTTTAACAAATGATATTAGTTTTATTCAGCATTAATTTTTTTACTTATTATCTTATTACAAGGGAAAAAGTTAAGTTAGAAACCCTCTTTAGTTTGTTCTGCTCTGCTACTATGGTTTATGAGTGGTAAATGGGAAGAAATAGACTAGAATAATTTGCAGTCTGGAAGTAACTGAATTTTTTGACCAGATTTATCATGTTTTTATAAGACCAAAGTATTCCAAAAGCCTTGTTGGAAGGCAGTTTCTCTTGTTTTCTAAAAGTCCCTGGAGTCAAACTTTACAAATTATTTCAATATTTAGTAATTACCTTAAAAGAATACAATTGCTTCCCAAAAAGCATATTACCTAATCAATTAATCTCTTCTTATTTTGCTATGTAATGTTTTCAAACCACTGTTCTGCTTATTATGGACAGATAGAAATAAATTAGTAGATTTTTAAAATTCTTATCATTAGAATACTTTGTTCTGTTCACTAACATTAACTCTCCTGAGGCTTTATAGTGATAAAGATGGCAAAGATTTCTTCCCTTTAAAAGAAAACACCAAAGTTCTAAGACTGAGTTGTAGATGTGATTGCTTCCCTGCAGTCTGGAGGTGTCAGGCCCATCTAGGGGCCTCCATGGCCTAGGGCTTATAAAGCCAACAGGGTGGGAGGGCATACAAGAGGCTGATTTAGACCTGCAAGCTCTTTATGGAAGAAACACCAGGGAGAAAGCAAGAGAGAAAACCAAGGGGATCATACCCAAACTGTGCCCACCACACTCAGGACCAGGCAGAAGATTCTCCCGGAGAGCATCTTTTCTGAGGGTGGGGCTGGCTCCTGATGAGGGCTCCGGCTGAAGGAGAGAAGGATCACCTCCACTCCTGGTTCCCATCCCATTTAAATCTGCGAGACCTTTGATTAATCATTATCTTTGTCCTGTTTAGACAGTCAACATGCGCTCTACGTCCCTTGCCCCTTCTGTAAGGCTGGTGTCCTGGAAGTTCTTGCTCAACTCCCCAAGCGTGTTTGCTTCTGATAAGCTGTCGCAAAGGCGGCAGCAGTTCGGGGAAGATCCCACATTCCAGGAACAGCGGGACTTTGGAAATGCATATGGAAGCACAGCAGCCCATAACCGTACAGGAGTAGGAAAGAACGTAGGAGGCAGCTGGCACGGGCCAGCTGTAGCCCACTGTGAAGCGGAGAGCTGGCGAGTGACATTTCACTTGATGGAGGAGTCATGGCTGGATGACCTGACTTTTAAAAAATGACTGTGATGATAGGCTCACTCTGAAGGGCTTCTAGATGCTGACCTTGAGCAGATGATTTTCCTCTACCCAGAGGGCTGAGACAGTCACCCCATGAAGCAAACATCCTGGTTTAGAATCCCAGCTACACCCTTTCCCAGCTCTGTACTTTTAAACAGATTACCTCTTTATGCCTCCGATTCCTCATTTTAAAAATAAGGGTAACGACATCCTACCACACGTTTTTATGAAGAATAAATGAGTTCATCCTTGTAAGCCCTCAGAACAGTGACTGTTACATGGTAAGCACTCAGGGAGTGTTAACAATTACAGAAGAACATAAAGTGCCATGAAAAATACCACTTCCCTCCTGTTTCTATGCCTTTGGTTATGTTTACTTACTTTCCCGGCTCTTCATCTCCATGTAAAAATTTTGCTTGGCTCGAAGTTGCCAGATTTAGCAAACAAAAAAACAGGATGCCCAGTTAAAAGTGAATTTCAAATAAATAGCAAATACATTTTAGTTTAGGTATGCCTATGTAATATTTGGGACGTACTTTAAATTTTGAGGGGGAGGTTTATTCTGAAATGCACCTTTAACTGGGCACCCTGTAGTTCTTTAATCTGTGGCAATCCTACCTTGCCTCAAAGTCTGCTTCCTATGTGAAGCCAGTCCTCAAAACTAGTAATAGCTAGTATTTTTTGAGTGTTCGCTAAGTACCAGGCACTTTGCTAGACACTTTACATAGTACCTGATTTCATCTCTCCAAGTCACAGCAAATTTTTTTTATTAAGGTATCATTGATATACAATCTTACGAAGGTTTCACATGAGAACATTGTGGTTACTACAGTCACCCATATCATCAAGTCGCCCACACACACCCCGTTGCAGTCGCTGCCCATCAGCCTAGTGAGATGTTACAGAGTCACTACTTGTCTTCTCTGCAGTTCATAGCAACCTTACTCCTCCATGCTTCCTTTGACCATGTACCACTTTTGGCATTTATCGCTGTGGGAGACTTGTCATCTCTTCCACTAGATCACAAACTTGACAACTGGCATATTTTATTGTTCTTTATACCCTCTCCTGAAGGTATGGGCCTTCGCTGAGCAAGAAAGCAAGAACAGGTTCCACTGTTGTGAGGTTGGCCTGCTCCCCCTCCGGTACTGCCACCATGTGCAGCTTGCTGTAAATGGATGAAAGGCGCACACAGTGCAGAACCCTCCTTCACCGCTTGCTTTATGGAAAGTCCCTGTTCTGATCAAGCTCACTCCTGATGTGACTTTTTTTGGATTTCTAGTGGCAGCTGCAGTGCCCAGAGGAAGCCCCAGAGCCCTGCCCAGGTCCTGGAGAGCAGTGATTCTATGGAAAGCTGGGTTACACTCGACAGTGACTCAAGTGGCCAGGCATACACAGCAACTCAAGGCTTGACCTCTATGGATGATTTCCTTTGCCCACAGGAAGGGCTCCTCTTGGGAGGTGAGCATGGTGTATGGAAGCAGTTTCTAAGAGTAACCTGGGAGGCTGCAGGCGAGTTAGTTGAACATAATCTGATTAAAAGTAAGTTAACAAAAAACAGTTTGAGGGCCACCTCTCTGGGAGTACGTCAGGGCATGTCTGAGGCACCATTGGAGGGCTGATCCTTGCTGTCCAGTGGGTCCCTCAAGTACCTGTGCACCTCACTCCCTTGCATCATCCAGGGCACTGCTCAGATGGCACCTCTTCAGAGAGGCCTTTTTTGACTATCTTACCTGACGTATAGCCATTCCATTAACCCAGTTTTGTTTTCCTTCTTAGTACTTTATCCCCAGTGGACGATATGTATTTGGAAAATGAATTATGTCTCCCAACACTAAGCTTCATGATGTCAAGACACGCTGCCTAGTACAATGTTAGGTAGAGAGTAAACACTAACAAGCATTGATTGGAGGAATGGCGGCTCTCACAGAAGCAGCACAGGATGGTGGAAGGGGAATGGACTTTGCAGAGAGTGAGTTCTGGATTCTAGATAAGTGACATTGACAAATTTAATTTTCTGAGCCAGTTTACTCCTCTGTAAAATGGGTTGACAGTATTTATCTTGCAGGGCTGTCGGGAGGATTACATAAAATGGCATACATAGCATGTTAGATATACACATCAAGGACCCCCAGAATGGTTGCTTTTATTGTTCCTAGAATGTCCCACCAAATAGAAAAGTTATCAGATTATCTCTCCAGTGCCAGAATCCTCTAATCAGGCACTTCTGTGAGACACTCTTTTGGTTTGGCACTGCAGGACTGAGCACTAGCCCGGCCCCCTTCCCCATAAGCAAGTCATAGCATAAGCTATGGAGAAATAGGTTTTGTTTAGCTAGGAGGCCATGCAGATGAACAAATCACAATAATACAAGGAGTATCATTTTTTTAAAGTATGTGAAAATAAGGTTATCTTTACAAATGTAAAAATGCAGGAATAATTTTGAGGATTTTTCAGTTTATTAAACCACAACTTCTATCTATTGCATTTTTTCCAGAGATGACTATATCCTAAATCCCTTAGCAACAATGAGTGATGTTTCATTTATTTATCCTTTTGAAATTAACATAATGTTCCACAAAGTATAAATATTTAAGTGCAGGGATTCATACATTTGTTATGCTGTAACATCTGGCTGCACTGGCATAGGTTTTACTTGTGTGGCATGTAATGTATGTAAAAAGAATAGAAATTCTATAGCTGTGACTGTTTCAATTTTAACTGTTATCTACACATCAAAACTTAGAAGAGTAAAACATATAGCCAACAATCTAAATATTTGTCATATGTAAACATAACTTAAAAATGCAAAACAGAACAAAACAAGCCCTCAGGGGCTTTGTTCTGAATGGCGTGCTTGTCCTTGGGTTACATCTCAGGGAAGTGAGAGAATATCCCTTTCTTAACAAACTTGTTTTAAATGTATGGAATTCTGAGAGCAGTTCCCGTATTCATTCATTTAAATGAATTTATTTATTGTATGTCTATTATTTGTCCATCCTGCATGCTATGTTCTTGAGATAGAAATGCAAATAATGTAGTCTTATACCTTAAGTTGCTTGCAATTGGTGAGGAAATCCAATACATATGCAGCTAAAATGTTAAACCCTATAAAAATTGTCATTTTTGTAGATCAGATGAATATCTGCCATTTCATGTGGTTTACCCTGATACAAAACAATGGAAAAAATTCTGTAAGGTATATTCAAAGTACTGTTAGAACACAGCGCATAGGGTAATATACCATTTCTGTATTGCTTTCTGTTACATTTTATGTAAAATGTTCCTTAAAAGTGTCCTTAAAAATATTCCTTAAAAATGTCAGATTTCATTCAGGTCTAAAAATGCAGATCTTTCTGAAAAATGCACATTACGTCTTCTAGCATAACAATCTATATGAATCTGTACATTTATTATTGATCTAATATGATGAACATAATGGTATTTTGATAGGAAATATTTTGTTAAAACAATATTAATGCACAATTGGAAAGTACTAAAATTAACTCCTAAATTTTGAAATGCCTGAATTATAAACATTTAGGAGACTCTAGCGCTCAATACTTTCAGGGCTTCTGCCTCAGCTTTTTACAACAGCAACTGAGCTATAAAAGGATTCATGGGAAAACACTGACAAGGCTAATTAGCTTTGTGTATCTTCTTTTCTCCACTTGTCTCCTGCATTCCAAGGCTACTGCAAAAGCCTATTTTTAACCAAGCTTCTTTACTATGAAAGGTGAATGAGCTGGTATGATAATCTATGTAAGACTAACTAATGGAACTTTCATTTTCAGAACGCATCAATAAATACCCTGACGCCAGATGGTTTTCCTAGAAGTTACAGCTGTGGGGAGAAGATGGAAATTTCCTTAAACACACAGCCATGATTCTGAACTGTAAGTACAAAAGTGAGAAGGGAAAAAAAGAACTTTAATGGAGAACTGTAGTTCATAATCTCCTTATTCAGGAAATAAACCTACTTTGTTTCTTATAATCGAACTGTCACCAGATTAATAATTTCTAATTGAATAATTTTTTTGCATTTTTGGAATTAAATTAGATAATGCCCGGATAGTATAACAATCATTCTCTTTTTTTTTGTCCTTAAGCATAATTTTCATGATCTTTTACTTAAGCAGTTTTAATCAACTTTCCACTAAGTAGTTATGAGTGTGTGTGTGATGTCTGTTTGTGAAAAAGAAAGAGAGAGAGGGAGATGGGGATGTAGAGGAGAGATGGGTGAAAGTGAGGTTCCTGAGTTTTTCCCTCTGCTTTATTGCTTTTCATTTTTAATTATTTATTTTTCAAGATAAATTAACTTAACTTATAATGTGCTTTCCTAAATTTTACTAGATTCATAAAATGTTTGCATTGAATACATATTAAAGCATAAATGTTATTCTTGAAAAGTGAATTCATTCTAACTTCATACACCTTAAACCTTAAATTTGGCACTCTTCTCCGCTGGTTTCACTGGGGTTCTTCTATTAAGATTAGCAAACGAGCGGTCAGCTGCTACTGCTTTAATAGTGATATACTGAAATCTGGGAGAACAGCATCTGTAAGCCACTTAGACTGTCCATACCAAGGAATTATAGGACAAATATGGGGTTATTTAATTACAAGATCCATTTAATTCTCTGTGGTTTT